CAGAAGAAGGAGTTACTAATATACAAGAAGAAGAAATTACTTATGTAAGAAAAAGGTAACTAAACTAATGTTCTAAACTTTACCTATTATGTTTTAAATTTTGTTCTAAAGTTTTCCAATATGTTCTAAAGTTTTCCCTTAAGTTCTAAAGATTTGTATTATGTTCTAAAGTTTTCCATTATGTTCTAAAGTTTTCCATTATGTTCTAAAATTTTCTCTTATGTTCTGAAGATTTGTATTATGTTCTAATATGTATCCATTATAGTTTATGTTCATCTTATCCCTTTATATTTGCACTCTATTTAATGTTAGTTGTATTCTATTATTTTTAATTGTTTTTAAAGGAAAGTTGAAAACGTTGAAGCGGAAGTAATTGATAGATCGGAATTTGAGAAGCATATTGAAAGTAAAAGTGTTGCTATAAGACATAGAAAACTTCCAACAAGGCTTTAACCACCTCGAAAATTGCAAAAAAAGGAAGGAAGAGAAAAAGATCAAGAAGAAGGAAAAGATCAAAAAGAAGAAGAGGGTAATAATGTTGAGGATGATGACAAGAATAATGATAGTAAAGATGATGGTGAGGATGATAATAAGGGTGATGTAAAGATGAAAGAGAAAGATGAAAAAGAGGAGATGGAAGATGATAGTGAGGAGGAACAAAAAATCAATAAAAAAAATCAAACTCAGGTAATAATACTCTTTAATCTTTACAATCTTTATTTTTATGTTCTAAAGTGCACGCTTATGTTCTAATTTTGCTTATCTATGTTCTAATTATGTTTATCTATTCATGGTGAGGATGTGAAGAAGAAGAAAAGAAAGATTGAAAAAGAAGAAGATGGTGAGGATGTCCAAGTAGTAGAAGCTAATGAGCAAGATAAACTAGTTAAGAGGCAACCTTATCAAAGAGTACCTCCTACTCAATTCATGAAGGATGTGTTGATAAATCTTTCGGAAAAAACAAAAGCAAGCTATTCGGAACATTGGTTTTGGAGGCTTTTTGGAATTGGATTTACCAATCCATATTAATTCTGCGTAAGTAGTAGAATGTTATGTTCTAAAATCATATTCTAAAATCATAAGTATTATCAATGTTATGTTCAAAATTATGATTTGTCATGTTTGAATTGCTATACACTAATGTTCTAAATTATAAGATTATGTTCTAAATTAGTTATGCTCTAAATTTTGTGCATATGTTCTAAATAATATGATTATGTTCGAAATTAGCTATGTTCTAAATTATGTGCATATGTTCTAAATTGTATGATTATGTTCTACATTATGTGCATATGTTCTAAATAATATGATTATGTTGTAAATTACTTATGTTTTAAAGTTACTTCTTGTATTCTAAAATTATGAACTCTCATGTTTGAATTGCTATACACTAATGTTCTAAATTAATTTTTTGTTATGTTCTAATGTATGTTTATTATGTTCTAAAATAGACTTTTTTTATTATATAATGTTCTAAATTATGTTCAAAAGTTTAAATATTATACTAAATGTTTTAATCTTCTATGTTCTAAAGATTGACTATTATATTCTAAATATAGCTGTATTGTGCTTTAAATCTTACATTTTTCATTATAATTCTAGGTTGACAGAAAACTTGGTTACGAATTTTGACACGGAGAGATGTTGTTTGATGTTACCAAAGAGAAAACAAGAAATCTTTTTGGAGGCAATTGATGTTCATTTGGCTTATGGGTTGCCATTGGGAGGCAAAAGGATTGAGCAACCAAATGATGAGTCAAATCTGAAATGGAGCAAGTTTCTAAAAGCTTGGAGAAGCAAGTTTGGCCTCAAAAAAGTATGATGATATAATGTGGTTATGTTTTAAATTTTATGTTCTAAAGTATGAATTTTATGTTATAAATTGTATGTTTTAAAGTGCTTTGCTTATGTTCTAAAGTGTTTTTTGCTTTAAAATAGATCTATTATCTCCATAGGTTTTAATTTATATGTTTTTTTTACCTCTAAAAGGGAAGTCCAACCAACAAGAGATTGATTGACAGAATTCAAGAATTGAAGAAGGAAAAATCAGTTTCTGATGAATTTCTTTGGAACTTTGTGGTATGTGTTGTCAATTGTTGCATTCGATCAACAAACAACCCACAACTATACATTAAATTCTTGTATAGTTGTATGGATGTAAAGAAAATTGCTGAATTGGATTGGTGCACATTTGTGATTGAGCACTTGAAAGATTCTGTAAGTGTATGGAAGAAGGGAAATTCTTACTTTACAGGTCCTTTACCTTTTCTAATGGTAAGTTTTAAATTCTTACCATTATGTATATACATTATTCTTGTTATGTTGAAAATGTGTGAAAAATATTCTAATTAATTCTTAACATGTACTAAATAGGTATTCTATTTTGATCGTCTACAAAGAGGAGAGTTAGAAAAACCAAGAAAATGTCCACTAATTTCGGTGTGGACAAAGGAAAGGATTCAAGTGAGATATAAGTTTGAAAAAGATCATGGATTTGGATATGGAAAACTCTTGGAAAGAATGGAATCAATTGTGGTATGATATTTGTATATGTTTATGTTTAAACACTACACTTTATGTTGTTGTTTTCTAAATTTTATAATTTATATACTAGAAGGCACCAAAAGGAAAAAAGAAACAACCAAAACAAAAGGAAAAAGAGAAGAGAATGGAAAAATCATCAATAGGTTCTAGTTCTACAACTTCTCGAAATGACATGATGGTATGATTTAGTTTATATTGTAAATTATATTTTATGCTTCATTTAATCCTTTTCTGTTAAATTATCCATGTTATGTCCTTTATGTTCTAAAATATTTTTGTGTTCTAATGAAGGGCTTTTTGAGCAAATTTGGAGATTTGGCAAAAACACTTGCCTCGAATGTTAAAGAGATGTATGGCATGTTAGAACAAGCAAAAGATCTTTTTGTTGAGGAAGAAACAAATGGAAAAATGCAACATCTCATAGACAACATATGGTGCAAGTACACAACAAAGGTATTATAATTATGTTCTAAAGTATTTTCTGGTTGTGTTCTAAAGTATTTTCAGCTTATGTTCTAAAGTATAATAAATTTATATAAATATTATGCATATTATGTTCTAAATTATAATTTCTTATTTTATAGACATTCGTGAACCAAGAAGAAAAGAAAAGCCCTTCTATACTCAGCCAAGATCAACATGTCTTCGATGAACCGGCATTTATTGAAGAATTGGATATGGTTATGGATAAGGCATGGAAGAAATTCGAGGAAACAAGGTCACCAAAGTCACCGACAGTTGGTAATTTCACATGTACATGCTTAATTTCCAAATTATACTTATGTTCTATATTAGATGCTTATGTTTTAAAGTACTTTTTTATGTTCTAAAACATGCGCTTAAATCACATGCTTATGTTCTAAATTATATGATTATGTTCTAAATTAGTTATGTTCTAAATTAGTTATGTACTAAATTAGTTATGTTCTAATTGTTAAGCAGATTTGAGATCAAAGGAAGAGGAAAAAGATAAGAACAAAGAAGAGAGAAATGAAGAGAATAAAGACAAAAACTTGTTGATTCCCTCACCAGTAGTTGGTAATTTCACATTATTTTCAAATTCATTTTTTATGTACTAATATTTACTAGATATGTTCTAATATTACTTCTTATGCTCTAAATTTTTTCTGGTTATGCTTTAAAGTTAATTCTTAATTTTTTATATTCTAACTATTTCTAGGTTGTCTCCTAATTGTATATATTTCTTATGTTCTAAAGTTACTTTTTATTTTCTAATTATTTTTTGCTATTTGCTATAATACTTAATTTTTATGGTGTAATTGCTATGAAGATTTGGGATCAAAAGAAGAAGAAAAAGAGCAGTACAGAAAAGAGAGAAACGAGGAGGAAAAAATTGAGAAGAAAGAGAAAAGGAATGAGGAGTCACCAAAAACCCCAATTCCTCCAAAAAAGAAGCAACCTTTTGATATAACTCCTCCAAGTTTCAAGTTATTGACCCCCTCACCAGCAGTTGGTAGTTTTACATTATTTTCAAACTTTTTTCTTTTGAAATAATATTACTAGATTTGTTTTAAAATTACTTCTTATGTTATAAATTTTTTCTGTTATGTTCTAAAGTTATTTCTGATGTTCTAAATTTTTTCTAAATCAGATGCTTATGTTTTAAACTACTTTCTTATGTTCTAAATTATGTGCATATGCTCTAAATTATATGATTATGTGCTAAATTATGTGCATATGCTCTAATAATATGATTATGTTCTAAATTATGTGCATATGTTCTAAATAATATGATTATGTTCTAAATTAGTTATGCTCTAAATTATGTGCATATTTTCCAAAATAATATGATTATGTTTGAAATTAGTTATGCTCTAAATTATGTGCATATGTTCTAAATTGTATGATTATGTTCTAAATTATGTGCATATGTTCTAAATAATATAATTATGTTGTAAATTAGTTATGTTCTAAAGTTACTTCTTGTGTTCTAAATTTTTCTGGTTATATTCTAGTTATTTCTAATGTTCTAAATTTTTTCCAACTATTTCTATGTTGTGTCCTTATTGTTTCTACTTATGGTTTGATGTCCCAGAAAATCAAGAAGATAATGAAGCAGAACTCACTTACGAAGAAGTGACAGCAAATGTTCTAAATTGTGCTTTTCTAAATCCAGATCATCCACCTACATTGGATGAAGAGGAGAAGCAAGAAGAGGAAAAAGAGGAGAAGAAAGAAGAGGAAAAAGAGGAGAAGAAAGAAGAAAAGGAGAAGAAGAAAGAAGAGGAAAAAGAAGAGAAGCAAGAGGAGAAGAAAGAAGAAAAGGGGAAGAAGAAAGAGGAGGAAAAAAAGGAGATCCAAGAGGAGAAGAGAGAAGAAAAGGGGAAGAATAAAAAGGAGGAAAAAGAGGAGATCCAAGAGGAGAAGAGAGAAGAAAAGGGGAAGAAGAAAAAGGAGGAAAAAGAGGAGAATCAAGAGGAGAAGAAAGAAAATGAAGGAAGCAAGAATGAAGAGAAGAACAAAGAAGAAAAAAATGAGAACAAGAAAGGGTAATCATTTTGTAAACTTTAAAACAAATGTTGGTTATGGTTTAGTTAAATTTTAATTTAGAACTTGGTAATAATAAATTTTGGTTTGATTTGGTTATGGTTTTTGTTATCAATAAATTTTGGTTTGATTTAGTTATGGTTTTTGTTATCTATGTGATATTTTTTAATTGAATTAAGTAGGAAACAAGGAGAAGAAAAAGGAGAAGAAAAGACACGGAAAAAAAGAGGAAAGGATAAGCTTCCAATGTACTTGCGTTCACCTTTCATGGTTGAACATGAAAAACTTTTCAAGAATGTGGACAATAGAAAGGTAGCTGAGTATGCGTTTGCTCAAGGAGATAATAAGTAAGACTTTAAAACTTTAAAATTATATGCTTATGTTCTAAGCTATATGCTTATGTTCTAAGCTATATGCTTATGATCTAAGCTATAAATTATGTTCTAAACTTCATTCTTATGTTCTAAACTGCGTGTTCTAAGCTACGAGATTATGTTATAAAGTACATGTGTAAAACTATATGCTTATGTTCTAAAATAGGTACTTATGTTCTAAACTATATTCTTATGTTTTAAATTATGTGTTTATGTTCTAAACTACATGCTTATGTTCTAAACTACATGCTTATGTTCTGATTTTATTGTTCTGATTTTAGGGAGCTTTTGTATGCTGATAACATGGGGACAACGATTACGAGAGATGAGATTCATAGTCTCATAGAAGATAAGCACATGTTGAACAATGTTGTGGATGCTTATGTTTGCCTATTGAATTTTGAAAATAAAAGACGTGGTGTAGACAAGAAGAGTAGATTCTTTTTCAGTACTGAATGCTATGTATGTTTTCGGATCCTTTTGCATGGAGTTCACTTATATATCGACTGTGCATTTTAATGGATCCTTTAGAACATAGGGGTTGTTAATTGGTTAGGGGTTGTTAGTAGTGAACTTGTGATTGCAGGGCTGAAAACAAACTTTAGACCATAGGTAGAAAAAATTTGGAACATAAGAAAAAATTAGAACATAGGTTGAAATAATTTAGAACATGGGCTGAAAATAAACTCAATCAAACCTTATCATGTTTCTGTTTCATTTGTCTTTTAAATTTCTAGTTTACTCATTCTATTTTGGGTTTTTCACTCTCTAGCATGTTCTAAACTATTTTTCAGCATATTCTAAATTATTCCTATGTTCAAAAATATAATAATAATGTTGGAATGTTACTAATGTTTTTGATTTCTTAATGTTGCAGTAAAATGCAAGGCCAAAATGAAGAAAAATCAGAAGGAGTTACTAATATACAAGAAGAAGAAATTACTTATGTAAGAAAAAGGTAACTAAACTAATGTTCTAAACTTTACCTATTATGTTTTAAATTTTGTTCTAAAGTTTTCCAATATGTTCTAAAGTTTTCCCTTAAGTTCTAAAGATTTGTATTATGTTCTAAAGTTTTCCATTATGTTCTAAAGTTTTCCATTATGTTCTAAAATTTTCTCTTATGTTCTGAAGATTTGTATTATGTTCTAATATGTATCCATTATAGTTTATGTTCATCTTATCCCTTTATATTTGCACTCTATTTAATGTTAGTTGTATTCTAATTATTTTTAATTGTTTTTAAAGGAAAGTTGAAAACGTTGAAGCGGAAGTAATTGATAGATCGCAATTTGAGAAGCATATTGAAAGTAAAAGTGTTGCTATAAGACATAGAAAACTTCCAACAAGGCTTCAACCACCTCGAAAATTGCAAAAAAAGGAAGGAAGAGAAAAAGATCAAGAAGAAGGAAAAGATCAAAAAGAAGAAGAGGGTAATAATGTTGAGGATGATGACAAGAATAATGATAGTAAAGATGATGGTGAGGATGATAATAAGGGTGATGTAAAGATGAAAGAGAAAGATGAAAAAGAGGAGATGGAAGATGATAGTGAGGAGGAACAAAAAATCAATAAAAAAAATCAAACTCAGGTAATAATACTCTTTAATCTTTACAATCTTTATTTTTATGTTCTAAAGTGCACGCTTATGTTCTAATTTTGCTTATCTATGTTCTAATTATGTTTATCTATTCATGGTGAGGATGTGAAGAAGAAGAAAAGAAAGATTGAAAAAGAAGAAGATGGTGAGGATGTCCAAGTAGTAGAAGCTAATGAGCAAGATAAACTAGTTAAGAGGCAACCTTATCAAAGAGTACCTCCTACTCAATTCATGAAGGATGTGTTGATAAATCTTTCGGAAAAACAAAAGCAAGCTATTCGGAACATTGGTTTTGGAGGCTTTTTGGAATTGGATTTACCAATCCATATTAATTCTACGTAAGTAGTAGAATGTTATGTTCTAAAATCATATTCTAAAATCATAAGTATTATCAATGTTATGTTCAAAATTATGATTTGTCATGTTTGAATTGCTATACACTAATGTTCTAAATTATAAGATTATGTTCTAAATTAGTTATGCTCTAAATTTTGTGCATATGTTCTAAATAATATGATTATGTTCGAAATTAGCTATGTTCTAAATTATGTGCATATGTTCTAAATTGTATGATTATGTTCTACATTATGTGCATATGTTCTAAATAATATGATTATGTTGTAAATTACTTATGTTTTAAAGTTACTTCTTGTATTCTAAAATTATGAACTCTCATGTTTGAATTGCTATACACTAATGTTCTAAATTAATTTTTTGTTATGTTCTAATGTATGTTTATTATGTTCTAAAATAGACTTTTTTTATTATATAATGTTCTAAATTATGTTCAAAAGTTTAAATATTATACTAAATGTTTTAATCTTCTATGTTCTAAAGATTGACTATTATATTCTAAATATAGCTGTATTGTGCTTTAAATCTTACATTTTTCATTATAATTCTAGGTTGACAGAAAACTTGGTTACGAATTTTGACACGGAGAGATGTTGTTTGATGTTACCAAAGAGAAAACAAGAAATCTTTTTGGAGGCAATTGATGTTCATTTGGCTTATGGGTTGCCATTGGGAGGCAAAAGGATTGAGCAACCAAATGATGAGTCAAATCTGAAATGGAGCAAGTTTCTAAAAGCTTGGAGAAGCAAGTTTGGCCTCAAAAAAGTATGATGATATAATGTGGTTATGTTTTAAATTTTATGTTCTAAAGTATGAATTTTATGTTATAAATTGTATGTTTTAAAGTGCTTTGCTTATGTTCTAAAGTGTTTTTTGCTTTAAAATAGATCTATTATCTCCATAGGTTTTAATTTATATGTTTTTTTTTACCTCTAAAAGGGAAGTCCAACCAACAAGAGATTGATTGACAGAATTCAAGAATTGAAGAAGGAAAAATCAGTTTCTGATGAATTTCTTTGGAACTTTGTGGTATGTGTTGTCAATTGTTGCATTCGATCAACAAACAACCCACAACTATACATTAAATTCTTGTATAGTTGTATGGATGTAAAGAAAATTGCTGAATTGGATTGGTGCACATTTGTGATTGAGCACTTGAAAGATTCTGTAAGTGTATGGAAGAAGGGAAATTCTTACTTTGCAGGTCCTTTACCTTTTCTAATGGTAAGTTTTAAATTCTTACCATTATGTATATACATTATTCTTGTTATGTTGAAAATGTGTGAAAAATATTCTAATTAATTCTTAACATGTACTAAATAGGTATTCTATTTTGATCGTCTACAAAGAGGAGGGTTAGAAAAACCAAGAAAATGTCCACTAATTTCGGTGTGGACAAAGGAAAGGATTCAAGTGAGATATAAGTTTGAAAAAGATCATGGATTTGGATATGGAAAACTCTTGGAAAGAATGGAATCAATTGTGGTATGATATTTGTATATGTTTATGTTTAAACACTACACTTTATGTTGTTGTTTTCTAAATTTTATAATTTATATACTAGAAGGCACCAAAAGGAAAAAAGAAACAACCAAAACAAAAGGAAAAAGAGAAGAGAATGGAAAAATCATCAATAGGTTCTAGTTCTACAACTTCTCGAAATGACATGATGGTATGATTTAGTTTATATTGTAAATTATATTTTATGCTCCATTTAATCCTTTTCTGTTAAATTATCCATGTTATGTCCTTTATGTTCTAAAATATTTTTGTGTTCTAATGAAGGGTTTTTTGAGCAAATTTGGAGATTTGGCAAAAACACTTGCCTCGAATGTTAAAGAGATGTATGGCATGTTAGAACAAGCAAAAGATCTTTTTGTTGAGGAAGAAACAACAGGAAAAATGCAACATCTCATAGACAACATATGGTGCAAGTACACAACAAAGGTATTATAATTATGTTCTAAAGTATTTTCTGGTTGTGTTCTAAAGTATTTTCAGCTTATGTTCTAAAGTATAATAAATTTATATAAATATTATGCATATTATGTTCTAAATTATAATTTCTTATTTTATAGACATTCGTGAACCAAGAAGAAAAGAAAAGCCCTTCTATACTCAGCCAAGATCAACATGTCTTCGATGAACCGGCATTTATTGAAGAATTGGATATGGTTATGTATAAGGCATGGAAGAAATTCGAGGAAACAAGGTCACCAAAGTCACCGACAGTTGGTAATTTCACATGTACATGCTTAATTTCCAAATTATACTTATGTTCTATATTAGATGCTTATGTTTTAAAGTACTTTTTTATGCTCTAAAACATGCGCTTAAATCACATGCTTATGTTCTAAATTATATGATTATGTTCTAAATTAGTTATGTTCTAAATTAGTTATGTACTAAATTAGTTATGTTCTAATTGTTAAGCAGATTTGAGATCAAAGGAAGAGGAAAAAGATAAGAACAAAGAAGAGAGAAATGAAGAGAATAAAGACAAAAACTTGTTGATTCCCTCACCAGTAGTTGGTAATTTCACATTATTTTCAAATTTATTTTTTATGTACTAATATTTACTAGATATGTTCTAATATTACTTCTTATGCTCTAAATTTTTTCTGGTTATGCTTTAAAGTTAATTCTTAATTTTTTATATTCTAACTATTTCTAGGTTGTCTCCTAATTGTATATATTTCTTATGTTCTAAAGTTTTTTATTCCTATGTTCTAAATTTTTTCTACCTATGTTCTAAAGTTTTTTTTCCTATGTTCTAAATTCTTTTGCCTATGTTCTAAATTTAGTTTACTTATGTTGTAAAGTTTTTTTTCCTATGTTATAAATTTTTACTACCTATGTTCTAAAGTTTTATTTTTATTTTTTTATTTTATGTATTAAATATTCTTTTATCTACGTTCTAATTTTTTTTCCCTATGTTCTAAATTTAGTTTACTTATGTTCTAAAGTTTTAATTTTTTTTCCTATATTCTAAATTTTTTCAATCTATGTTCTAATTTTTTCCTATGTTCTAAATGTTTTCTACCTATGTTCTAAAGTTTTTTTTTCCTATGTTCAAAATATTCTTTTACCTATGTTCTAAATTCTTTTGTCTATGTTCTAAATTTAGTTTACTTATGTTGTAAAGTTTTTTTTTCCTATGTTCTAAATTTTTACTACCTATGTTCTAAAGTTGTTTTTATTTTTATTTTTTATGTTCTAAATATTCTTTTACCTATGTTCTTATTTTTTTTTCCTATGTTCTAAATTAGTCTACTTATGTTCTAAAGTTTTTTTTTTCCTATGTTCTAAATTTTTTCAACCTATGTTCAAAATTTTTTATACCTATGTTCTAAATTTTTTTCTATGTTCTAAATTCTTTTGCCTATATTCTAAATTCAGTCTACTTATGTTCTAAAGTTTTTTTTTTCCTATGTTCTAAATTTTTACTATCTATGTTCTAAAGTTTTTATTTTTTTTTATTTTTTTTTATGTTCTAAATATTATTTTACCTATGTTCTAAATTTTTTTCCTATGTTCTAAATTTAATCTACTTATGTTCTAATTTTTTCCTATGTTCTAAATTTTTTCTACCTATGTTCTAAAGTTTTTTTTTCCTATGTTCTAAATATTCTTTTACCTATGTGCTAAATTTTTTTTTTCCTATGTTCTAAATTTAGTCTACTTATGTTCTAAAGTTTCTTTTTTCCTATGTTTAAAATTTTTTACATCGTTCCACGATCATTGCCAGGCTCATGGAAGTAAGCCATATCATGTGTTACATTATTTCCACGTTTTTTCACAAAAGACCAATCTAAGCATCAAAATCAAAATTCTAAACATAAAATTTTAATATTTCATCCGATTTTTAATTACTTAATCTATTTTAATACTCTAATACGGCCGAAAATGAAAAGTGGAGGAACGAGGGAGTATCATCTAAAACCAAATGCAAGGAACTCAACACCTCTCAGTCTCTGACTTGTTGCGGAGTGCCTCGATAACACTTAGACAATCGCTCTCCACCACCAAACGCCTCATGTCAGTCTCCTTCCCCATATGCAGCCCCTAGAAAACAGCCTTGGCTTCCCCCACCCTCGATTCCCACTTTTCTAAGCTTTGGAACGCAGCACACCAAAGGATCTCCCCTGAACTTCCTCTGCATACCGCACCCAGCCCATAACATCTTTACAACATACAACATCTAAATTTAGAACATACGACACTTAAATTTAGAACATGATCATGAACATAATCGAACATGTAATTTAGAACATTGATACGAAGTATAATAATGCTAATCAATTAAACTAAGTGACGACAGGAAATACATTGTACTTGTATTTCAATCCTCTGCATAAAATATACAATCATCAAATTTTGTAAGATAACACACCTGAACTTGTAGCTGAAGCTGTTTTAAATATTCAATAGCTTCATCCAACATTGAAGCCTTATCCGTCTGCCATAAAAAAAAATATTGTAGTAAAAAACATTGATAAAATGGAAAAATAATTAATAATTATAAGTAGATTTAGTAGCACCTTATTGGAGTTGGGAATCAATTTTTGCAGTGCTTTCATTTTCTCGTTGATCCTCTGCCGCCTTCTCTGTCCATAATGAAAATATCAAAAAAATCTAACGAAATTGCAAAAAAATCTACTGAAATTGAAGAACAAAATAACATATCCAAAACAATGTATAGACGAAAACAATGTTTTCGAACATATAATGCACATAAGCAATAAATATCTAACGAAATCGAAGGAATATGTACCTGAATTTGAAAATTGCGAAATCTAGGGCTTTATCGCCAAAATTTGTACTTTTATTGAACAATTTGACTTGTTTTATGATCCTTGATGTTGAATTTATGCAAAAAAAAATGAAGGAAAAATGTTGAAAATCCTTCAAATTGCAGCTTCTATGGAGATTTTTAGGAGTTTGAGGAGAGAGAAAGTCATGAACTACTACGATAATCGAAGAGAGAGAAAGTTAGGTTGTGTGTTTTTTGAGGAAAGATGGTTTTTATTTTGTTTTAATCCTGACCGCTCATCCCAATCTAATCTTACGGTTGAGATTGGTTCTTATATAACTAGGGTTCTTATATAAGAAGGGGTTCTTACCGGATCCCTCCCCTATATATATATATATATATATATATATATATATAAACCTTCGGATAATCCACAACCCCATATTCCAATTTTGTTCAGAAATTATGGCATTGAATACTCAGATTGGTCTAATATTTTGCAACAAGATAGTCTGATTAGTGTACTGAGCAAATAATAAATTTAGAAAATGATTGAATTTAACAAAAATATAAAATTGAATATAATCAATTGAAGATTATGAATAAATATAGCTACTTAAATAGGTTAAATAAATAATTTAAAAAATAATACCCGTAACCCGAAAATCCAATAAATCAGAACAACCCTCTTCGCTAACCATTCTCTCCGCCTCATTGACAACGCCAACAATGGTCTCCATCTCACCCACAACGCCGTCGTTCGCAACAACATCATTGAAAGAAAGATAGACACAAACTCCATAGAGAAGATAAGCGAGGTCAAGGCGGTGAATCCAACGAGCAGGTCTAGCATCACAAGCGACATTCCACGACCCCTCGCCTCGTTGCTGGTGGATTGCGGGGCGGAGGTGATCCCTCCGCCAATCACCGCTGGCAACAGCAGCCGGAACATTTACCCGCCAAATGGAGACCGAAGAGGCTCCATCGGCGACGTTATTGGTCAATTGAGAATGAGATTGATGGTAGTGGGTGTGGAGGGAGAAGGTTTGAGGTGATATATTCCAAGGCTTTAATGGGCGTGCGCAGAGTAATCCAAGCATCACCGTTGAAATTTTTTTTTTGGGTTTTGGTTGTTTGGTGTGGTTGGTGGATTGTGTTTGGGGTTTAAAGGGGGTTTTAAGGTGATTTTGGATGGGTATTTTTGTAATTTCATAATCTTACTATAATTGGTAAATAATTTGATTCTTTCAACTTTTAGTTCTGATTTTCTACCATCTTTTGTATTGGGGATGTCTAGAGTTTGAGATCTCTTATGATTTTATTATCCCAGATTCCCAGGTGATCTCTCTTTATCTTTATTTTGGGTGTTTCTAATTAATTGGATATGTATGTCAATGTGATTTTTAACCAATAATACTTTATCTATCAACAAATATTGTTTATATTCTTTTAGTTACAATACTTTCACTAACACCATGTTTTATGCAGTTAGTTTGACTTTGTTAAAAATATTATGTAAGTGCAATTTGTTAGGGAATAAACAAATGATAATGATAAACAAATAAAAATGGGTGAATAAGTTTTGTAAATGTAAGGTGTTTAGGTAAATATACCCACTCAGCTGGACCAATGGGAGCTTGACACATGTCAATCCAACTCAGCCCAATTAGGTCAATCAAAACTGAACATGCGGCCCTCTGGTTTTACAACTCCTAATGGGCCATGAGCTCGTACCATCTAATTACCTAATAAGGTAAAAATAGCAAAGCAATTAGGTTAAAACCCTAATTTACGTGCATTTCCATACACTATATAAACCTTCTTTAATGATGGGTTACACATGTTGAAAAGTGATTAGAGTTCTCTAACTATAATTAATACCGTTCCAATCTACTGTTTAGACTTTTGACCTTTTTGGTGCTAACTTGATTGTTGTAGGCGAAACTCCGTCAAGCCTAGGGTTCGTTATTTTGCAGGTGTATAGACCAGGTGAGGCATATTCGACATTATAAATTTCCCTTGAGACATCCCAAAAACCTTACGATTTTTGACGTCGTTTAAGGGAAAAAATACTGCTGAAATGACTCAAGACAATCTTACACCACCCATTGTAGACCCTGAAATCCTAGTCGAGGACAATGTTGATATCGAGCTGGAAATGGGAGTTTATACCAACCCTAATGACAATACATAGTTTGAGGGAAGGCATATGAGATCTAGGGATTTACGGGAGGGTGTTCCTATTTAGATCAATACGGCAAGCACAAAGGCTAGGAAATCCCTGCTTGAAGTTCTTGCAAATGAACTATAAAACATCCCCAAATATTGAACAATTTTATATAAACAAAGAGGGGTTTGACTTTTTGTTGACTTTTTTCTCCTTTTCCATGGCGATTTTCTGAATCGATGTTCTCATTCAGAATGCTCGATCATGGCTTGCAAGAAGAAACAATCAACCCCACTATCTCAAACCCCATCTTTTGGTTCATTAGCTGCTTCAAGTCTAATCAATTAAAGGATTCGAATGGCACTGGAAACCCTAGCTCGATTCACTTCTAGAAAACAGCTCGTTTTCGACGGAAAAATTTCCTCGAAAACACCCCTAAATCCGTCGGAAAACCTGAATCTAACGGACCGGTTGTCGGAAAAGCATCTGTAGGAAAAACGACATCTTTCGACGGAATTTCCGACGGAATTCTTTCGTTGAAAGAGGTTTTCCGAGGCCGAGAAAATCCGTTGTAAAGATCCGACGGACCCAATTTCGTCGGAAAGTTCCGACCGAAATTCCGTCAGAAAATGTTTTAATAAAATTAAAAATACGCTGAACCACCAACAACCGCTAACTAATCCTAACCCTAACATCAGACCACCACCGCCACTACCACCAAGTCACCCACATCACCGCCACTACCACCCACTACCACTCCATCGCCACTACCACCCACTACCACCCCACCGCCACTACCACCCACTACCACCCCACCAAACCCGTACCCAGATCCACCCACCTAAAACACCTAAGTCCTAACCAAACCCACCAAAATCCGGGTAACCAAACTAAAACCACCGAAATTAACAAAAAAAATTTTAAAAATTAAAATCCTTAACCATTACCCACAAAACCCGAACTCCAACAGCAACAACCTTCCACCACCATAAATTGTAAAAAAATCCAATAAAACAACAAAATAAAATCAAAAAATTTGAAAAAAAAAGATATATACCTTAATTCGACCACACATTGATGGGTGTCACAAATGACACCCATTTGATGAGCATTTAAGTTGTTTTTACCTTCTTTTCACGGATTTTCTGCTTAATAAATGTTTAGTTTTATGCATTTTGACTTGGTTTTACCTTTCATCTCTTATTTTGTAGCTTTTATGCATTTAATTGGTTTTTCTACTATTTTCTCCTTTATTTGCTCTATTTTTGTGGTTGTAGGTATTTTACGAGGTTTAGATCTTGATATTGGTGAATCACTAAGGTGGGAGATGCTTTTGGAGAAAGCTCATGGCAATTGGAAAGCTCAAGATGCAAGGAAGTGGATTCTCCAAGTTCTAGCTCTTGCGCTCTCAAGCCGTGCTCTCATGAAGATGGGGTATTGAACCCACAATTAAGTGCTTTTGGGACTGCCTCTCTTAGTGTTCTTCATCATCATGTAGTGCGTTCATTCGAAGACCTTAGCGAACGCACAAAGCTGCCAGAAGATCCGAAGAAACCCAGAAGAGCGCGGGCGCGCGACCCCCTTATGCGGGCGCGCACTACTGCTGCGCTGGCGCTCCTCTGCGGGTTCTAGCTTCGCTCTTCTTCGTTTTGCACCTCTTATAAATACCCTTTTGAACCCAATTTTTGCAGCAAGTTTTCATTTTAGATTTAGATCATATTCTTAGCTTAATTGAGAGCTTCTCTCTCTAGTTCTAGGGTTAGTTTAGCTCTACAAGAAAAATGTGTTTACGTAGCGATTATTTCGTAGCGATTGTACATTCGCTACAATATACAAGTATGTTTGTGAAATAATTAAGGAAGTCGTATCATTTTACAATCGCCATGATTTTCCCATATAAAATCGATATGGAAAACATAATAATACATATCCACACTATTTTTACACATTTATATAATTTTGAGAAATCGTATCATTTACAATCGCCACTAAATCCTAAAAATCGATATGAAAATCCTTTTCAACACTAGATATATAAATATTGTTTGACAAAGAATACATAAAATATGTCATAGCTTATTGGTGAAACATTTAATATAAGAGTTTGTGGTTACATGTTTGAATCTTGTTAAGATCATACGCATGGTTTTTTTTTTTTTTTGAAGAAAATGAGTTAAACATTTATAGCGATTGTAATCGCTACAATAATCACCACGATTGGATGTCGTTTTTCATATCGATTATAAAGGTCAACCCCAACGATATTGAAAACCACTACTAAAGGCTAAGGCAACGGGAGATATTGTATCGAATGACCATTCGTTGGGGAAGCTTTTTGTTGCAATTACAATCGATACTAAAGGTGAAAATAATCGCTACGATAAGGTTATTTTCTTGTAGTGTAGGAGTAGATTTTAGAGAGGGAAAGTGAGGAATTTCAATGGTGATTGAGAGATTGAAGATTTAATGGTGACAATTGTGTTGAAGATCTTCTCTATTATCAATTAGCATTCTTAACTCTATCTCATTTTATTGCTTTGTTTGATTTCATATTTGTTGGTTTGATTTTGATGTTTGATTGTTGATTAGTGTAGTTGTTCTTCATATATTGTTGATTCTTGATTTATTTAGTTGTTAGTTGATTACATGATGATGTTAGAGTAGTTGTTTGCTAGGAATTGGGTGAAACTTGTATGATTGATTGATTGTGCTTAATTTGGGGATTATGTTGATTAATTGTTGAGATTAAAGTGATTAATGGAAGTTTGCATGTGTGTAATTCGATTAGATCTTGAGAATCATGCTAGATTGCATTGTAGTTTTTAATGATACGGACCATTGATTTAGGAATTGCAATTGTCGATTGAGCTTGATTAGTGATGCTCCTAGTTAGAGTCTCTCGTAGTTGGCGCTAGTTTGACCTTTAGGAGAAAGCTTGTTGACTCTTTTGATTGAGCTTGCCATTAGTCTTCACAACCATTGGTTTGCATATTGTTCTCGAGTTGCTACAATTGTCATGATTACTTGTTGATCCTCGTTCCTAGTGTTTATTTGTTTGGTTCTTCATTTTGATAGTTGGTTATAGTGTTTACCTTTTATCCTTAGAGTTCGACCTAGCTTAGGCGCATAATTAAGTGCGGTTGAACATTACCGTTCATTTGGGTTTGACCCTTGACTTGCCTCTATACTTGTATATAGGTTTCCTGTAGGGAATATTTCAAGCGTTAATCCCCTAGCTTGAACCCCACTGTGATCATACACTAAAGTACGGTGGCGTCCAAAGGGAAAGAAGATAGAGCAAAAGAGTCACCAACAAGTTTTTTTAGGAACTTGTAAACCGTTCACGAGGTGAAGATTACACCCCTTAACGATCCAAGAGATCGTCAACTCCATAAGGTTTTGAACCAAATAGGGTCGGGGATGAAGGTACAAATCCAATCTAAAAGAGATTGAACTTGCCCTAATAATAGGCCTCTACTTTATTCTGATCGTATTCATGTGCGCTTTCTGATTAACATACAAGCAATAGGTTTAACCTAAACCTGTTTATCTATGTTGGTTGAATATTAATGCACAAATAAAACTATTATTGGCGATCACTTGAATTATAATCAAATTAACCCTAAACAATATTATTAATTATCTTATTAAGCGTGATTACAAGTACAAATTCCCTTTAAACATGCATAAAAGGCGTGATCAAGCAATAACAATAAATATCAAGCAACATAATTGTAGAAGTCGCTCGAAGTGCGCCTACGTTAAAGCATGTGGTGAATATGCTTAATTGGCACTCTTAGGAAGTGGGAATTGACATTACGATTAGGGACAAGGAAAGTAGGGAGCCGCCAACAAGTTTTTAAGGAACTTGTAAACCGTTCACGAATCATAAAAAAAGGCAACCACGATAAGGGACAACGATAGACAACAACGATTGACCCGTGAAGGTTACACCCCATTCATAATCCATGAGATTACTAACTCCATATGGTTCAGAACCACGAAAGGAGGATCGGGGATGATGGTACGAAGTGAGTCATGGAGTCACATTTGCCCGTATTGGCCTCTACTCGACTCTTATAGTGAAAAATGATTCCTGCGATCTCAAAGACATACAAACAAAGATTCAATTTGCTCCAAACTATTATTAAGCTAAATTGGTTGAATATTAATGTAACATATAATTCTAAAATATTTGTGATCACTTGAATTAACAACAAGATTAAAAAGGAACCTAAACCGGTTGTCCAAATTATCTTATTAGGCGTGATTTTCAATTACATATTCCCTTTAAACATGCAATATAGTGATCAATAAAT